GTGGCGGTAAGTTTGACTGTGGGGTAGGTAAGTACTAGCTAGGTAAAAAGGACGAGAAACACGCCAGCCTCCACAACACTCGGCTGGTTTTCATGGAGGGCGCGCGTACATTTAAAAGCCGTATATTACAGTATAAAACTACAGTAACTTCTAATACTATATTACAGAAGGACGGATAAAAATTAATTGACTTCTATAAAATATAGAGCTTAGCTAGACCCAATTACATTCTAATAAACTTCTTGGATGAAGGGAGTGACTCGGCGAGTTTTGCTTCATTTGAGAGTTGGTCCCAAAGCATAGCACCGCTAAATTCAAAACTTCTTTTTAGAAACTCTCTCTTCGGTTTAGAAAGTGCCAGATAACTAGCCCTGTTTATGTAGATGGTAATTAATCTGATCGAAATTCCAAACTAGCAAATGAGTTCCTAAGGAAGTGGACGGTGTGGTTTATACATTTCAATGGGCAAAATCCCTGAAATGATAACCACTTGCCTGTGAATACAGCCCTCTGTCCTTGCTCCTCGACGCGCTAAACGTCCCTAGTTGCGAGGAACGAGGAGCGAGGAGAGAGACGGCTGTATTCGCAGCCTAGATAATCACTCAACTGAAAGTTAAGACTGACAAGTTCATCAAAATAACAAATAGTATTTACCGGCCATTTTTCCAGTTTTGTCTCTAGTTACGCCCATGTTAGACTCCTCGTTTTTCCATAATTCCACCAACAGTTTACCAGCTGAAATCTGCTTCTTCCCTCTCCACGACTGCACATGCGCGAGGGCCTGAAAAGATCCAGACAACGTAGGTATGATCGATAAAAAAGCTCCTGAACAGAATATAATTTACCAGTCCACAAAAAATATACTTTTTTGATACCAAAAAATTCCTCAGGAAAATCGAAAATGCAAGATGAAATTTACTTTTAGTTCCAACTTTACAACTTTCAAGGTAATCTCTATTGTTTTCGAGACATATCCAAGACCCAGAAGATAAAATTTCCCCGAGGTAAGTTACCTAGGGAAAATCGGTCACACTTAAAAAAATCAGGTTTCCCTAGGTAAACTGTCAACAAGTCGTGTTTACCTAGGTAAAAAGTCTGTAGTGTGACCACAGCTATTATGGTTATTTCAACAAGGAGATTCCTCGTACAGTTGCGCAAATTCAAGTCGAACTTTAAGACCGTTGGTATAGTTCAAGATTTGTGTTTCTTTAATGTGGAAGTAAAGCCTTGTAGAGATTTTTAAAGCTTGTAACAACTAAGAAAAAAAAGAACCTTGCAACAGTTTAAACGTCTTTTGATCAATCATTCAAATGACCAAACTAAGGAGTTAATTCAGTTACCTTAACATTTTCACATAAATCTACCAGGCATCCTAACACCAAGTTTTGCATTGTGAGGGGACAGATCTGTAGACAAAGTTAATATATACCAAATCAATTCTGATTTAAATTAACGTCTTTCACAAATGGCTTAAAAACCTGTACATAACTTGAGCTTTGAGGACACTTCCCTACAGCGGATGCCCTGTGATTATTATCGACAACAGTCTCCGAAAATGAGAATTACATGTTGCATGTTGCATTGCAAACACTGTGATTGGCAAAGTGATTTTTTACTGAGTGGCTGTGGAATTAGTAATGAAAGTGCATGTTCTTAGTTACAAAGCTATCGCAATTTTAAAGGTGATGGTACACGGAGCGATACGCAACGACGATTTTTAGCGCAACAAAGCATTACAACATTGTTGCAATGTTGTCTAGGATGGTCTCAACATTGTTCCCACATTACGAAGTCTTATTGCGCTAAAAATCGTCGTTGCGAATCGTCCCGTGTAACCAACACGCAATCTCTGAGACAGACGTTTTCATCTTCATCTACATTCATAACTTGTAAGATCCTAAATAAGGACATTTTGCAAGTGTTTTAAACGCGCGCGAGGAATCTTAGCGTGAGATTAATGATAGGCTTTTAAACCATGCTTTCCAGTCGCCGAAGGTTGTAAAACGTTTACGAAGCACCTGGCTAGTCTTATGCCAACAAACAAACTTTCTCAATAATGACCTCCAATAAATCCATAAGATGGAATATTCCATCGTTCTCAAGGAAGAGCTGTTCGGTCAAATAGCATCCCAGTACCGCAGACCTGAAGGAAAACAATATTTACGATATATAAGAACCCAAAGAGTAAACCAGCTGTAGGCGAATCTTAACGATCATGCATATTGCACAGGTTCGAAATTTTTCAAGCAATTAGTTTCTATTTTCCTCTGTGTCATATCTCTTGTCATAATCTGAGACAAAGAAACAGAGGAATTCAACTGGATAACAGGTTTTCAACGAAAGAAAAATTCGAACCACAAAAATCATGTTAGAAACGGTGCTTCCTTCTTGACGTTATAAAGTGAAGCTGATCCACGAAACACGCAGATTTGTTCACTGCCGAAGATGAGAAGCCAATATCTAGCGGCTTTTAAAATCAAACAATGGCCTGGCAAATGTTGTCCTCAAAGTTGTCCGTTAACTACGATTAGAGGGTTTTAAAGATTAGGTCAAATGCTATCATGAAAAGTTTGTTTTCTTCTGTATAAATAAATGGGTTGTCTTTTCCTCTGTCTTTGATTGCATGAGCTGTAAGAGTTTTTTTTTTTTTAAATAAACATGGCTTGTGGAAGAAAAAATATTCAGACAAACTAAAAACTATCAGTAAAGTACTTTCAGCTTCTCACCAGACGCAGTCCACCGCAGAGAGAAGAAGCCGATGGTGTCCTAAGGGACTGTTAATCTTGTCAGGATCTCTCTTTAGATACTCAACTAACACCTGAACACCTTGGGAACCAAACAGTTCCTGCAACAATAGTTAGTGTGAGATCGTAAGGGTACTTCAAACCCGTTATCTTTTATTGAATGAAAACATCTAACGGTTTGACTAGTTAAAGAAAAAGACGAAAACAAAAGATTTAAATAATTAAGTTTCACAAAAGTGCAACAAACGGTAAAAAGACGCGAAAGATAGAAGAAAGCGTAGCTAAGAAAACTTTCAAAAATTTCCCCGTGGTAGAAAAGCAGGACAATCACAAAATACAGTAATTTGAAATCCGCCGAAGAACAAACGTGCACTCGACTCTTGACTCGCTAACTAGACTAACTGTCTAGACTAACTGTCCGCCCCCAATTTATGTTGCTAGCTAATAATGCATGCCGTGAAAAACATATATAGTCCCTAGGGTGTAACGAATCAATGAAAAAGGGAACTGATCTACCTTCCATACTGCGCTCATGCAAGAGAAATGATGTACAAGGCAACATGATTCCCTGGTACTAAACGAAGTTTTACACGAGTAGGGTCCGCCCCGAGTCCAACCCTTTACCCGTTTATGTACCATTTTTGACAGAAGACTCTTCTGGGTCTTTTTACAGACCGAAATGAGAGATTTCCCTGTCCTTGGGGTACCCCCACCGTGCGGGGCCTCTGAACAGGCCATTATAGGAAGTAGCCCCCTTCCCCCCGGGAACATAATAGAGAAACGTCAATGGGGTAAGACATATAAAAGGGCTGTACCCAGGGATGAAGCCAATCAATATATGATACAATTGCTGGCTGGCACTGGGTAGGTAGGTCCTTACAGTGTGGGCCTTACCAAGTGGTATGAGGAGTTGCACTAACAGTAGGCGGATTTAGCAAAGACAAAAGAGACGCCAGTGACAACGGCGCCCGCAGATCTGGAAACTGAATTAACCAATAACAGAGTGGAAAATTAAGCACCGGAAGTTGAGTTCAGTCCTTTCCGCACCTGTATTTACAACAACTTTATCTATTACTACAAGCTTCGTCTTACCTTTCTATGCGTGTCTACTTCACACAGGGAAGACACAATAAACAGCATATCACACTGCAGTTCAACATCAATGCTATCATTTTCATCAGGGCTCGTGCTGGCGTTTAGAAGAATCCCTATACAGAGAGACAAACACTGATTTGTTAAGACATTACGCTTCGCAAGCGCAAAAAGTGCATGTTTATAAAAAAGTTCCCTGACATCCAAACAATTTTCACCGACCTTGATTTGACGTTCAGTTTTCATCAGATTCTTTTACAGACCGTTAATACTCATGTCTTCATTTTCAATCGCTTAAATTATATAGGTTGGACTATTCACTTTTCAGGACTTTCAGTTGTTGCTGCTTTTTTGTTTCTTTGTTTTTTCTTTGGGCTTCACGAATCTAAAATATGGCGACATGAACAAAAGATTCCCTGATTTTTTAATAACTCTGCCCAGGACTAAGATTTCCCGTTACGTTTTCAAAATTCCTTGACTATGAAAAAGAATGGGATTCCCCCTGACTTTTCACTATGATCATGGAAAGTGTGCACCAATCCATTGGTGTCGTGGATGGCGACTGAGATCAACAAATGACGTACTGTGATACAACGGACTCAAAAGACACTAACAATATCTAAACCACCTTACAATACAACAGAACAACAGGTTTTGTAACCCAGAGAATTCCGTCCCCCTTTTCGGAAAGGGCAGTTTCCCCGATTCATTTCCCAAAGTGCTATGATGCCCAAGTTATCTTGTAAGCTATAAAAATATCTTACCTGAGTAAAACTGCAACTTACCAACAACTTGACCGATTGCTCCCTGATCAACAAGGTCCTGGTTCAAGGCATCATCACCCACAGATACCATGCTTCTAATAAGCCGCAGACAAAACCGCATCTGGGAACGCTTGTTGCCTCGACCACCGCTACCATGGAAACTGTTGCCATGACCACCATAGTCAGCTACGAGCGAGGGAAAAAATATACGAAAAATTAAAAAGGAATAATTCGTCTATGACTACACTAGCTTGACAGAAGTTTCCTAGTCAGATATTTCAAGGGATCTTCACTAATATCTTGATCCGAATCAAAGTATACGTTTGATTTGATGTTAAGTAAATTAGTCTTCAGGTCTATGGGTGAAGTTCGTTAAAAGACCGTATTTTTTTTTTCAAATGAAATGAGCCTCGTATTCCCCATTCCAGAAACTATAAGGTGGGATGGATACAAGTTCTCGGAACAACGATTTCTGAGGTCGTTTCGGTGGACAAGTGTTACTTGTGATTGGCTGGTGGTTGCCTTGGATACCATCGACCAATCATAATTAACACTTGTCCATCCATACTGTCCCAGAAATCGCTGCACCCAGAGCTTGTATCCACTCTCCCGTGGGGAATATCTCTGTGCTAAGTCATGAGTACATTCTTTGGTTGATACTGGTGAAGTACATTCTATGGTGTTTACTAGGCAAATAATAACTGGAGAATAATGGTGCTCAGTTTACCTTGTCCAACACACCACTCTAAGAGCATCAGTAACCTTGTGTTACTCTGACAAGTCATGTAATCATCCAAGCAAAGCGGAGCCACAGCACTCAGTGTATCAAGAGCCTGAAGACAAACATCATCCATGGTAGTAAAACGTTAAACTACATCAAACCAGAATTTTCTTTTTTAACCAGAGCGCGACCAAAATACATGTAGTTAACGCCAAACGCAGGAAAAACCCACGCGTACAAGTGAAAATTGTGCTGCCTTGTTCGGCGTTCTGTTTGGCCTTTCAGTTTATTACATCCAAATAAGCCAATCAGAACACGGCCAAAGTACACGTAGTCAGCGTCAAGGACGGGAAAATCAGTGCGTTCATGTGAAATGTTGACTTGGTTTTTGAGGCGTTACGATCGGTCCAGCGAGATATTTTCGCCAAATACAACAAGCGTTCACCAATTGTCAAAATGTCACTGATAACTCCAAGGAGGGGCTCTTTCTGGTTACAAGCTTTTCAAGATAAGTTGACAATCCTCGAACTTTGTCCNCCAAATAACCAGAATACGACCAAAATACATGTAGTTAGCGCCAAACGCAGGAAAAACCCACGCGTACAAGTGAAAATTGTGCTGCCTTGTTCGGCGTCAAGGGCGGGAAAATCAGTGCGTTCATGTGAAATGTTGACTTGGTTTTTGGGGCGTTTTGATCTGTCCAGCGAGATATTTTCGCCAAATACAACAAGCGTTCACCAATTGTCAAAATGTCACTGATAACTCCAAGGAGGGGCTCTTTCTGGTTACAAGCTTTTCAAGATAAGTTGACAATCCTCGAACTTTGTCCCTCCTTTCCATTTTAAACCGAAAGCAGCGGGAGATTTTTCAACTAATTTATAGCCAAGCTAGGTTCTCCTAAAAATCTGTTGCTTTTCAAACTGAACATAATTTATATGTCAGGTCTTATTCCACTGTAACTGAGAATTTAACCTTGCCACTTTTAAAGCCGTTCTCGTCCGTTCAGAGCGTTTTTTCTTATAAATGGTGAAGCATAAATGCATAACAATACATAACCGCACAATCTCGAAACTATTCTTGAGTCTTTTTAAAACGCAATATTTACAAACGTTTATTGTAATATCTACAATCGACGACAAAATGAGTTGAGACACTTCGCCCTTAACGGACTTTTTGACGTTTTCCTGACTTCAAAAGGGGAAAAGATAGCTTTTCCTCTCCCATCCCCTCCATTCAATGTTGTACCACTGTTCAAACTACCTTAAGAAAACAAGAAACATCCCAACTTTGAATTGAGGGGACAGGGGAGGGGTGTGGATTCTTATGTTCTCTGAATTTACCCTATTTGAGTACAATGTCTCAACAATTTTGTCGCCGATTGTAGGCGTAAGGAAATATTTACCTGCAGCTGCAATTCTTCAAACTGTGCGGGAGACCATTCGACCGCTGAAGAACTATCGTTTGCTCTCACAAACGAGAACAGTGAAAGAATGACTCTGCCCTCTGAAAAAATCTATAAAAATGAAAGAAAAAAAAAGGAACTGATAATTTCCATTCTGTGCTCGCATTAATGGTATTTGAGAAAGTGACTCATGTATAAGATGCGTCACATTTTCCCTTCGTATAAGAGGACCTAATTTCCGCAACGGAACCAGCCATGACGCTTTCATGCTTTAGACACAAGGCTAGGATCAATGCCTCAGTAACGAACTCAACTGTTTTCAGAGTGAAAAAAAAGGTCATGAATTACAAAACACTGTAGATTTTCACATCTTGTTATCGTCCATGCATCAAGTGAAGCTGATGTACCTGAAAGCTGGCTGAATCTGAGCTTAGTAACACTAAAGCGTTCATCAGTAGTTTCTTGAATTCAAAATCCTCATGACTCTACCAGAAAGAAAAAGAAAACACCATACATGTACTTAGATATTTATGACTACAAATCCCCTGTTAATTTTAATTTGAACAGCCTTGTGTGTTCATGATTAGCAGAAAACTTAACACAACCATCTTCAATAACAGGCAGCTGTTCAAGGGAATATGTGTTACTACAAAAAGTTCAGAGAGACTGAATGTCAATTCTAGCACTCCTGACTAAAGACGAGGCAATAACGTCGGGTAGTGGAACGGTTTGATTTAGGGGACGGTTGATTTTTTGTACCGCACTGATAGATATTTTTTTCGTACATCAGAAACCAGGAATAACCTCTCAGGAAATGCTTCGGTCTATACCTGAAAAAATTATTTTTTCCTACATTGACTAATATGAAAACTCCATAGTACCACAATGCCTTGAATGACAAACCATACTCTAATAAGCGTCTTCCCCAAACAAATGGTTAGTGCCCCCACGTTTTGAATAGGCGCCCTCTTATCTCCCTTCGCTTTCTCAGATACAAATTAAACTTTTACTACACCACCATTAATTCTTTGTTAATAGTCCATGATCTCTTTCTTCCGCTACCACATTTCCTGCCAAATAAAAGTTTCTGATAGCCCCCGACAACGCCCTGAATTAAATAAGGACCCCTATTTTGACTGAAGTTTGAAATAAACATTTTATCTTACAAGCGGTGAAGTATTTTCAGAGATACAGTGCACTAAGAGAAACGAAAAATAATCATATTCAGTCAATTTCATTACCTGGTCGAGTTTCAGACTTCTAACCAGTTCATGATGGCTTTTAACTGGAAGAAACAGACAAGTATAAAAACAAAGATTTATAAAATGCATCAAAAACATCCTGTGTCAAGATTTTCCTTCCAGACAAACTGGAAGAAGAACAAAAAACTGGAACAGTGGTTTGTCAAGACGCTTGAAACAATTTTCCTTTCGGCTACATTCATGTTGATGACATCACTGAAATCTCTGCCAGATCTTTCAAAAGTAAAGGAATGTACTTACAAATCATTTACACCTTTTAACTAAGTATGCTGTGAAATCTGTAACATTTATATTAGTGTTATCTAAGAAGAACTTTCTTGCAGCACTTTTGATCAAGCTTTAAGAGAAGATTTTTTCTCCTGTGAATGAAGTCACTTATAATGTGCACATACCCGGGTTCTACAGTGGGTATGTAGGGTATTTGAGAAGTAAAAGCTTCCCCCCGAAATGCCCAGCTTCCCCCCAAAAAGATTGTTATCATTACAGTATATAAGTAACTATATCGGAAAAATTATCCAGATGCCACGAGGTCAGTGCACACACTGTAATATTTCTCAAGATTGTGTCTCAAAATGCNGCTTCCCTCCAAAATGCCCAGCTTCCCCCCAAAAAGATTGTTATCATTACAGTATATAAGTAACTATATCGGAAAAATTATCCAGATGCCACGAGGTCAGTGCACACACTGTAATATTTCTCAAGATTGTGTCTCAAAATGCACCAGATTGCATCTCAGCGCATATTCATTTCAAAAAATTTCCGGGGGCATGCCCCTGGACCCCACTAGGAAGATATCGGCCACTCGGGACATCTCCCCAAAACGATAAATCCTAGATAGAACCCTGCATGCATATTAAAATTATTACCCTCTGTGAAAGTCGCCAGCACAACTATCAGCCTTGTAAACCCAGTTTCCTGAAAAACAATAAAAATGTCCTTATTAAGCCAAGCGATTTTACATGTGATGCAACAATCAGAGTTTAAAACATTAGGGATGGGATATATTACAAAGCAAAGAGGAAACATAAGGCTTTGAACTGGACGAATTTGTTACAAAGTTTAGATGGCCTTGTGTACGTTGTGTTCTCATAAACCATATCTGACAGCAACTGGACTCAGAAGTCGGTAGCCATACCTGTTGATTGACTTATTTTACATTAGGGTGAACAGCTGTAAGTCCGCGTTCTGTCATAGCCATGTATAGCCATGTATTGCCATGTATACTGACACGGTAATTTACAAGTTAATGCCCACTAATGAACTGAAGGAAGGCTGAACTCTAACAAAATTGCGGGAACCCAAAAGGGCGAAAAAGACTGCACCTTTTTGTTACCAAGAGGCAAAGTATTTAAGTTACCAGGGGGAGACTGGGTACTGCTAGAGCACAGTCCTCTATCTTGTAGCCATATCAAATAATAATTACAAAGACTTTTTGACAATAAGAATTATAAAGAAGTCACATGAACTGAATAAGAGCTGTTCTCATTTAGTAGCAATAAGGAGTTTAAGCAGCAATGTTTTTGAGCAACGCACGTCAACCGGAACTGAGTCTTTTTTTCCATTTTAACATGCCTTGACGCTACCAAATTTGTGTTGCTAAGGGTCTTTACTCTTAAAGAGACGATTTGCCCCAGAATTTGTTCAAAATCACGGACTAAGAGCGTAAAAACTCCACTTCCGGTTGACGTGTGGGGCTCAAAAACATCGTTGCTTACACTCCCTAATATTTAGCTTTCAACTGCTGCCAATGTAGTTCACCAACCTACCAAAAAAGGAGATGTTGGACAAAGTGACACAACCAGTGATGAAATTACTAACAGATCGTTTCTGCAAACAAAACAAACAGATCTCACATATAATGACCATTTATTGATGATGACTGTTACAACTATAGTTAGGTTAAGGTATTTATTTTCAATTTTTAGTCTGCACGTGAAGTCCTAAAGTTTGACCATTTCGTGATTAACAAATAACACGACTAAGCAGTACTTTCATAATTATAGTACTATTTATTTAGTAAGTGGTACTAACTTTCAAGTCTACAGACAAAATCCTAAAGTATGACCATTCAAATGAAACCTCTTCAGTGGTGTTCTTTTCATGGTGTTATTGGTTTGTCCATCATAAATTTTACAAAATAAAATTTGGAATTTTTTTTGCACTTTTGCCATGGTCACCTCAGTAGTAAAAGGGTTTAATACTGGTAAACATTAGCTGTTAGAAACTACAGATGAGACAGTTAAACCTGGCTTTGTCTTCATGAGTGCAAAAATGAGGTCAACAAATAACCAATGGCAATTGCTTGTGAAGGCGCCGTTACTACCTGAAGACAGACCTTATTACCCGCTTGCACTATTGCACCTTAAACCATTCGAGGATGTGGAGACATATTGAGTCATAGTCTAACACTACAGTCGTGTTACCTCAATTGTCTGTCAGCAAGACTGTAACCATCTCTGATTTGTTTGATAAAGGCATCTTTTAATGCACTGAAACGGAAGCAAAAACATTTTGATAAAACTTCAAACATATATGACTAGAAACAAAAATGAAACTAGCTTGCACTTGGAAAAATAGTAGCTGGTGTGAAAATGTTGTTGAAAATATCTGCTTGTAAAAATATTATTCCAAGGGTGCCTTTTAAGCGCAGTTAGTTCCAGTTCGTTCTGGTTTAACCTTTAATCCCCAGAGTAAATGATGTAGTCTTGTAAATCCTAAAGTGTGACCATTCACATGAAAGCTACAGAGCAGTAGTTTCTTATAATATTGTTTATGCTGTACAAGGTGGTTCTAACTTTTGAGTCTGTGGATAAAATCCTAAAGTGTGACTGACATGATATTTGAGTAACAAACCTGATACACTCTTTACAGTTCAGTTGATTAGCAACCTGACAGAGAATAAGACAAGGTGTTTCAAAAAATGAATTACCATAATGCACTTACACACTACAAAAATCTAAGTTTATTTCTTTTTAATTTCAGTCTCCAAGAGTCCACATGTAGCCTGTTATTCTGTGCTTATGTGAGGAATTCCTAGCTTCTCTCACCTTGCAAAGTTAAACATAACTTTTCCCATTAAAATAATGTACTCTTACCTCCTGTTTAGAGCCAAATTCTAGCAAATTCCAGAGAATCTCCACAGTTCTAAAAGCGAGGCTGTTGATCAAAAACCAGAACAATCAGAGCATGAGGGACTAATCAATTTTACATTGAAGTACCAAAAACTTAAGGCAGAAAATATAATGGCCAAAAAAGGACTATAGCATCTGAGTACAGCTGTCTCTCGACTTATTGCTATCATTCAATTTTGCTGCAACACAATAATAATTATTCTTTTTTTACTCAGACACAAATTGTTCAGACACTTTTTCTCTTCAAGCACTAAAATTCAGTAAACATCACTGAAATAACTGTAAGTTTCCCCCAAAAAAGAAATATGACTGGTTAAAATCTAGACTTTGCCTTTGCTCTTACCATAAGATTGTTAGGAACTTTAAACAAATGCTGCATTCACTCAAAGGTGTGCCTAAACAGTACACAGTCTGAGTACAGTTACAGGGCACAATCTGTGAAACAATGTTGGTTGCAAGTAAGGAGGATTTGATTCTGCCTATTTACCCTCTTTGCAAAAACAAGGAAGAAGTATTGACCTGAAAAAACTTCAGACATAAAAATAATACTTTTTAGGGTTGATTCTGGGATTCATAAGATTCCTTCAGTGTATGTGTATTGACAAACATTGCATCTTTTTTCTCATGATAAAAAATCACCTGTCAGAGGGGTCTGGAATGTTCATGCCACTGCACAACAAACCTGCGGCACTAACTGACAGCATGTCATCACAGTTTAGAGCTGCAAACACAAATAAAGAACATGCAATTTTATTTTCACATACTGTCTTTCTTTTATGACAAAAATATGGAGCCAAATGTGTAATGACACATAGAATACATTACTAATTTTTCTGATTGAGTATACATAAATATTAGATAATATTTCTCATACTCTGTAGAAGCTTATCTATGTTCAATATATAATCATCAAAATAAGATAAACAAATGCATGATACCATCCTGTACATGTATATAGAAAAAATACATTGCGCTCTAAATTGCTTTATTCAAAGAAAAATAGAGTATTTTGAGCTCAATCAAAAATTTTCTCAGTAGCTTGTACACATTTTCCATGTTCAACCATTTCTCACTGTAATGAGCTCCTTCACACTTTGCCAAGAAATCATAAGGTTGGCAAATAATGTATAACATACATTTTAACAGTTCAAGTCTGTCAAAGCACAGTGTGTTGATGACAACTATTTCAGATTTGTATTCAGAGACACATTTTTCAAACCTTTGAAAACAAAAAAAAAA